TAAAGCAGGCCTAGGAAAAATCGTAGTTTCCTCCCAGCCTCAAGTAATTACTTAAGGACACACTCCACGCTGACTGTATGGACCAGGCTCCTCTTATCTTATCCGTCTTCTTCATCATCAACCAAATGGGGACCTCATCGGTAGAGAAGATACGACTGTAGGCTGAACTCGATGAGCGTGGAAGCGCCTTTAAGAATAAGAAAGGTGGAGACAAGATATATATTGTATTACCAATTCCAGTGTTGTGAGGAATCGGTGTCCAATAATACTTACGTCGTCTGCCGCCCAGTAAAGCCAAGTCTCCCATCCCTTCTGGGATTGGTGGGTGGGCACTGGGATCGTCTGGGAGGATAAAAACGTTTACTTATTCATAGGGTAGTCTCCGAAAGTCACGGTATAGGGAATGTCGCATTCAGAGTGTCAATAAGAACAGGGTCCTTGAAGAGTTTTTTGTGAAGTGTGACTCCCCTCGGAGTTTCCTCCTCTCGTGGGACTCCTTCCTTCCCTATCGCCTATCCTAGCTACACTACAGTCTTCCTAGATACTCCACACTTCTCTGGGCTTTCCTTCACGTTTCCCCAAAAAACTGCTAAGCGGTGGGCGGGGTGGTGGGGGAGGGGCTGAGCACATCATTAGTTGGGATTTTGGTCGAGACCGTACGACCCCCCCCAAAGTTGGCTTGATACCGTCCCGTCCCCTCCCCGTTCTCCTCCCAGCTATTCCTAGATCTTTCCATCTCCCCACCACTTTTTCTTGTTTCTCTGGAAGACCCCGAGAATTTTTTCCCCAGAATTTTGATGTCGAGGGGGAGGGTATTATGGTAGCACGTGTGAAACGGGAAAAACTGCGGAAAAGTCAACAACCGGGAATAATTATTCCAAATGCCGCTAATTTCGTTCAGGGGTAACACGATCCCCTGCCCCTCAGACCAAATACGACCCTCCCTGTTGGGGAATCCCCAATGATGAAGTGCCCTGCGGAGGGGAAGGGGTAGCGCGTTCTAAACAGGAAAACTAGGGATTTCAGTGACCGATAACCTTTTTCTCAAAGGGGCACCGCAATGTACGACGGGCCCTGACTAGGATACTGAATGGAGGTAGAATGCATGGCGCATCCCAAAAATGTGATTGACCAACATCGAAGGTTTTTTCGTTTTCCCATTTACAAGGAATGTGTCCAGTACATAATGGAGATCTTAAAGAAATATTTATTTCCTCATATTTGAGCACCACATCGATTGAAACACTGGAAATTGAATAAAATCTAAGTGACTAGACGTGAGATGACTCACGTGTAGACACATTAAAAACCCGTGACTGTGAAATCAAAATACGAACGAGAACTGACCTTGAGTAATCAATCAATCAATACATCAGAAGTAGGTAAACAATCATCAGAGGGTGTGTGTGGGTGTGTGAAAAATCGATATTTGAACATTGTTCAACAATCGATTGAGCCAGCTATCACAATAAGCTATTACAGATGGCAGAGATGATGTTGAATGTGGGATGATAGTTTTAATATAGAAATATTAAAAGAATGTATGTTAATGTGATTATAACTGGAATCAATAACGTCGATAATCTCGCTGATGAACTTCCATTACAGTAATCCGCATAGCATGTGCAAACATCAATTGTTGACTCATCAACCTGATCACCGCCTAGTTTGAACAGCTCTTTTTTCCTGAAATCAGAATATTATGCAGAAATTTTTCGAAATTGTCAAGTCCTTTTTGTGCTTCCTGGTAAAGCTCTCATATTTCACTGGAACTGTCACCTCTTGATATCCATACCAGGGTTTAAAGTTCGAAGTTTCACCAGCTTGTTCATCCTATCGAACTATTAAACCCTTTTTAGGACTGCCAAATCAATTGAAAGGGCGTTTTTGATTAAATTCGTCGTTCCCTACCTCAAGTAGCATAAGAAACAGTATTGTCTGACAAAATGCAAAAACTTCGCAGCGAGCAGGATTCGAACCTGCGCGGGCAGAGCCCAATTGATTTCGAGTCAATCTCCTTAACCACTCGGACATCGCTGCATGCTGGCTGTGAGCGCAATGTTGTTTATGTTCCATCGAACGTTCACACGCGTCAAAGCACGTTGATAGGCGGCGGTGACCGTTGTAACAAATGTAACCCTCACCATTCCTTCTCAGTTAGCCAAATATAACCTAAATGCCCTCTTAGAGGGCAAACAGTTCAGTACTGGGATAATCAACAGTGAAGTTTCCTTTAGTAGACAGCGGACGTCCTTGGGGAAAATTTTTGCCAAATTTGACCCTTCTCTCCCTATTCCCACTGTACTAAACTCTCCCAGCTTTTTACCATAGGAGTTTTTTCCCGGAAGTTCCTGCACCATCTTCCTGGAAAAGCCACCTTTGAGCGGGTAGAGGGCGCAGAACACATCATTGGTTGGGGATTTTGGTCAATTTGCTGTTTTTCCCAGGGTACGTCTTGCCGCTGGGGGAAATTTTCGGACTTCCTTACCCATCCTACCTACCATTTTCCTGGACCAACTTCCTACCACGTTTTCCAGTTTTCCGGAATTTCCCGAAAATTTTCCTTTTTCCTCAAAATTTTGCTGTCGAACGGTAGGGGGCATTTAGGTATACAGCACATGTGAAACAGGAAAAACTGCGGAAAGCCACAACCAAGAAAATTTTTTCCCAAAGCCGCAAATTTCTCTCTCAGGCAAATACGAACTCTCCCCCTTTCCAACAAGCTGCTGCGACAAAGCCCCCGTTTATCTAGCTCCATTAAACAGGAAAATCAACTATCAAAAAAAAACTTCTCTCAGAATAAATACGACCCCGCTGTTGGGGAATCCCCAACGATGATGTGCCCTCGGTAGAGGGCAGGGTAAGGTAATTTATAACGCACGTGAAAGTGGAAAAAACCGAAAAAAAAAACTCAGCAACCGGAAGCTTTTCTTTGAAAAAAACAGATAGGACCCTGTCTCCCTCTTCCGCTCCCTAGCGTAATACAGTACCCCCATCGGGTACAACCCCACCGACGACCCTATTCAGTATGTGGATCGCCAAAGAGCGTCCTGTGGTCACTTTATTTTTATAATTCAGAGGTTCCGGATAAAGCAACCTAATAATAGTTCAGGTACCCTCTTCATCCTCAATCACTTCCTGCCAGTTGTCTGGCATTGGTTCGATTTCGTGGGCATGGTTGCCCTCATCATTAGTAAAGAGGAGATTGATGACCGAGCTTGTCAACTCCTCCGGTCGAGTTTCGATCGAAAAAAGGTCGAAAGTGCAGACATGTTTGATAACAAAATGTAAAGAAAAACTTGATCGATCGAATGATTTCAAAATCGAAACTCCGTGGGGCAAAAAGTACTTGCTTACAGTTAACAAAAACGAAATTATCGCTGAACCCTTTGACCTGACGGAATTTTGACTTTTTGGGATATTAGAACGGCTCGTGCGGCGCAGTATGATCGCAGCCTAAGGCAGCCGAACTTCCAATGAAATTTTGACTGATCTACTTGTGCAAATGGTGTTAGTCATGACTGCTGTTAAATAATCGTTGTTGGAATATTAGCGAACTCACCTATAAGGCCGACAGGAATCCCTCTGCATCCATCGATACCAACTAACGATAGTCTCGTTGAATCCTTTTATAAGTACGTCTTTCATGCATCCTCGGATATAACCACCAATACGGACGCCTGAAAACACATGAAGATTTTTTGCCAAGAAACTTAAGATGTATAAGGCCCTTTTTCTATGAGTAACATGGACCTGACACAGATGCCGCGGCTAGTGAAACTCAGAAGAAGGTAAATGCGCGAATATGAACCTCAGCACAGTCTATGGTCTACAGGAGAGGGGGCCAAAAGAAGAAAAGACACTTTTCTCCTTGACATTCAGGCGCTTATAGTTACACTTTATTTGAATTCTGATCGGACATTTTTACACCATATTAAAGAGCATATTAAATACTATCATGATACTCCGCCACAGCCTTCTGGACAAGCGCCGTCGAGAGATTCGGGCACGCGACAGCAATTGTGTGCCTGAGATCTGCGAGATAGTCCATTTCTCCGCCACTGTAAGACCACCCTATTGAACTCCCAGGTAATTGAGGGGGTTTAGTTCAGGTGACACACTTAGATATTCCATCTTCTTCAGGTACTCAACGCCCTTCCATTCCAAGTAGGCGAGAGTTTTTCCAACGCCCTTCGATTCCATGTGGTGTCACCCAATCCTGTAGCAGTACAAAGTTTCCAAGAAGGTACGGGCGACGACATGTGGGACGACATTCTCGAGTTGCTCGATGTAACCGCCCAGCGGCTCACCTGTTAGGTCCGCGGGGCCCACGAAGAAAATATCGGTCTTTCCATTCCAGGTACGTCCGGTCCATACCATCCCGCGCCTTGGCGACTGCGGTGAAGATGATGTCCTAGACCGTAGCGACGTTGTCGGAGCTGCTCGATGTTGGAGGTCTTCCAGATCGAGAGTACTGGTCTCCAGGTAGCTATCCATGGGTGACTCCACACTAGAAGTTTCGCAGCTGTTTGGAGGTGAGGTGACATGAATTCCAAAGGTCTTCTCCAGTCAGGCTGCGACTGGAGATGACTTCATATTTTATGAAGGTGATGGGCGAGAGCCAGCTCCTGCTTATCGAGGAACATCTTGGGTATCTTCCGCCCTGGTACTCGTATCCACGTCCTCTGTCTGGGCTGCGAAAACTTTGCTGATATGTGACTCGGTCGAAGTGACTTTTTTTGCCTCCCCCTGTAGTCCAATCAAACACAGTTCTTGCTGAGCGTTCAGGCGACAGGGCACGCGGAGAAGTTCCTAAGGGATTGTATGTACTTGATCGTTGAGGAGGAATTAGCTATGTGCTTCTGCTATTGGGCGAGGTCTCGGCTATCACGGCCTTGATACCGCAATCTTTTGCCGCGGACCGCGCATGGAATTTTACACTTCAATTTTTGAATCTCAATTTCGCATTTTTCTTTCATGTGTGCACAGAAGTCATCGCACTGCCGCCATACGCGATAGAAGTTTTAAAAATTTGGAATTGTGCATAGGAGTTATAAAAATGCCAGTGAAGAGAGTAGTCAGGATGGGGGAAAGACTGCTCTTTTTGGAGGAAGGAGCTGCTGCGTGGGGGGATGAGTGTGAGTTTTCTTAGACCACCACTTTCTCCATCCCGATAACCCTGGGTGTGGATAGAGGCGCACTCGCTCAATTTACTATCTTTTATCAGGCTGTTTGTGTCAACTTCGAGGACGTGCTATGTGAAGTCTAAGAGCTGAGCCTTACACTCCACATCGCGGCGGCTGTAAGGGCGTTCATCCAAAGGTGTAATTGCCGGCATAGGCACAGAGGGTCAAGAATGTATAGACATTTTCTTTCGCTACTTGCGTTCGATGTCTAAATCTCCGCCTTATCAACAGCCCACCGCTTCCGCGCTCACAACTGGACACGCCCTGTCCAGGCCTCGTGATAAGGCCAGTTAAGAGAAATGAAGCCTCGAATGAGGGAGTTATGATTTTCCACAAAATCAGTACGTTTCATTCGATATTTAGGTACTTAAAGGCGTGAAAATACAATCTATATCCGAGGGCAATAAAGAGCGTAGCTACGGGAGCGGGGAATTCCCAGACTAAAGAGAGGCAGAGACGTACATATGAGAGAGTAGAATTGGCATAGACAAACGCAGCGGTCACGGGGACATCCTTTTTCGCTCCCACAGGAACGAGGATTGGATTGTGGCGTTACAATAAGAAGAAAAATCAGTGCCGGTCACTAA